TCCACCACTACTCTCTGGGTGCGCCCCATCAGCCAATTTTTTACCCATCCAACTGTGTAGGCATCAATGCCACAGTTGCTTAATTTATTGATGAGGATGGGGTGAGAGACAGTGCCAAAGGCCTTCTTAAAGTCCAGAAAGACTATGTCCACAGCGACACCATCATCCAAGGATTTAGTTACTTGGTCATAAAAGGCAATCAGGTTGGTTTGGCAGGACCTGCCTTTGATGAACCCATGCTGATTGCCCCAGAGCATGATCTCCCCTGCAGCCCCCCCACAGATGTGCTCCTTGATGATTCTCTCCAAGATCTTCCTGAGCACTGAAGTGAGGCTTACAGGCCTGTAGTTACTTGGGTCCTCCTTCCTCCCCTTCTTGAAAATTGGGACCACATTAGCCAGTTTCCAATCCCGCGGCACCTGGCCAGATGAACATGAATGCTCATACAGCCGGGCCAAGGGCTCTGCGGTGACCCCTGCCAACTCCCTTAACAACCTTGGGTGGAGGGCATCTGGACCTGCAGATTTAAAAATGTCTAGCCCTTCCAGAAGATTCCCTAACTACATCTGCACTGACTGAAGGCTTGATAGAGCTATCCCTGAGATCGTCCCTACCTCTGGTAGGTGGGATGTCCCGGTGCCTGTTCAAGAAAACAGAGGCAAAGAAACTTAAAAATATCAGCTTTCTTGTCTGGCGTAGCCACAAGATTACAGTTTGTGTCTTGCAGGGGCCCTACATTGCCTGGTGCCCTCTTCTTGTTCCCAATGTACTAGCCTGAGCTCCATCTCTGCCTTGGCCTTCCTAATAGCCCTCCTGCACTCACAGGCCAAGGAGTTCCCTGCTTAGGAAGTACTAAACGATGATACAGTAACAACAGCACAGTAGGGGCCCGTGTAAACGTGGCCTCAGACTTGAATTCACAGCCTTTTAGATGGCAGGACAGGCCAAGCTGGCGAGATCCTTTTGAGTTCCGCTTCCACCCTCTGTACTTGCGATCCTGCCTGGCTTGTGCGGTTCACAAACTTGCTCAAGAATCTGTCTACACCATTATCCAAATCATTACCAGCCCCCAGCCCAGGATGGACCGAGGAGACCTTCTCCCACGGGTCCCTTAGGACCGTATTTACATGATTTTAAGACAAGCCCCCCCCCTCCCCACACACACACACACACACACACACACTTAACATGGGGGAGCCCCTCATCTCAGACCTGAGTACGGGTGGGGGGCAGGTGGCTGCTGTGGCTCGGGCTCCAGTCCCTCCCCATGGCACAGGCCCACGGTCACAGCTGCCTGCCACCTCACTCCTGCAGCCCCTTCTTCCCACCTCCCTGTGCAAGCTCTGCTTCCCCCTTGCCCCGTGCCAGCGGGCTGTGCGCGGCCGGGGCAGCCGTTCCCGCGCAGCGTTAGGCTGAGGAGAGGAGATCCAGCGCCCCTTCCCCGGTACCTGCGGGCGGCAGCGCGCTGCTGAGAGCCGCGAGCAGCGCGGGCAGCCAGGCTGAGCCCCGGGGCAGCGCCATGGTGCTCCGCTCATCTTTCGCTTTCGCTTGCCCCCGTCACGCCCCGGGA